TTCACTCTCTATGTAAGACATTTTAGCTTTGTAGTACGGAACGAACGCGCTTTTCATATGCGGAACGATGGATCTAAAAAAATACTTAAAGGTAAGTATCCTGCCTACGAAATTTTTTCAATGAGATCACCAATTTTTGTAAAAATTTTCCAATTCTTTTTTTTAGGGATCAAGTACATCAACATCAATTAGCATTTATCAAACCTTTCTCCACTTTTTTTTTAAATTTATATAATTTTTTTTAATTTTACTTGAAATTCTTCATATAAAATTTTTCAGAATTTTTCTAATAATTTTTTATACATTTTAAAAATATAATTTCTCATAATATTTCGATATTTGTTTCAGAATTTTTTGAAATTTCTGTATAACTTAATAATTTAAAAAAAAAGCCTTGCATTAATCATAGAAAATATTTTGGTCAAATTGGTTGAAATTACGATATTTTGTAAATTACGAGATATGAAAAATTTTCTTAGGAAAAACCATAAAAAAATGAATAGATGTTACTGTGGCATCATTTGAAAATTGTTATTTTACGTCCAATTGGATTGAAAAATATCTTTATTTATTAAATTATTTATTTTTTTGCAATTGTATCTTAATATCTTTATGCATAAATAATGAAATAAATCGATTAATATAAAAAAATACATAGTCTACATATTGCAAATTCATTTTCAATTTTTTACAAATTGAAAACATTCTTTTATTCTATAATTTCCGAAGAAAATTTATAAAATCTAAAGAAAAGTTTAAGCTATTTTTTTCAAAAACCTTTATAAATTTAAAATATAAAAATATAAATATTAATAACATAAATATTCTTAAAAATATTATAATGTTAAATTTTATGAAAATTTTGTTCAGAATACTTTTTATTTATTAGTGCTAAAACATCAATATTCAAAGATATCAAAGAAAGAATAGAAGATATAACATGGCTTAATTTGTATAATTGATAACGTAAAAGAATAATAAATAAGACAGTTGACATGCAATTTTCTCTCCTAAATTGTATATCTAATCTCATTAAGATTTGTTTTTTAAATTGTTTTTAAATTTTAAAATTGTATGACTAAACAAATCTCTGATTTATTAAAGATTAGGAAAGCAATTCGATGAAGCTTTATAAATTTCTTTTTATTTTTCTGTTTCATCATTGAACTAATTAACTCATATCTTTTTGAAGAAATAGATTTTTTTTCTATATATAATATAGAAGAAATAATGTATAATATAGAATGTATAATATAATGTAGAAGGAAGATATAACTAACGTTGATATTGTTGCAACTATCCCTGAATTGCGACATCACCACAAAAAAGACTTTTGTGGAACGCAATACTTGCACAAGTGTTACGTACGGTATGATTCGACTATCGTTCCGTACATATTAACAAGCTTTGTCCTTTGCTTAATATAAACTTTAAAATAATTTTTATCTCGAACTCTTATAGCTATTTATTCCTCTTACCGAGAAGTTACAAGACCATTCATACTTAAGCGATCGTTTTTACAATATATTGTTTGAAATATTAGTTTGAAATATTAGTCTGCGCGTATAAAAACTAGTTGTACAGTTTTGAAATGTATAAAATAATTTCACAAAAAAGGGAAATAAAAAGAAAGAAGCTTTTGCAATATCTTGTTATTTTTGCATACATTAAACGCTAAAGTAATGATGTAGAATAAATGACAATGAAAATGCAAAGTGATAAGCGTCGTTCGAACTTTACAGTTTACATTTATCGCAGAATTTCTCTTTTAAAATTTGCGATAAAAATGTATGTAACATATAGAGATATGAGATTTTGCAAAAATTTCTTGAAAATTGCTAATCGGAATATATCAATGCCTTTAATAAGTTAAGTTATAAAATAATTACACAGCATTTTTAGAGTAAAATTTCATTGTTCATAATGTGTCCATGCGTAAATACAGACTTCGAAAAACATGAAATTTAAAAAGGCATTGTAATTAAAATGTAATGAAAGATGCGCTAAGACATTATTTCAAAACTCTTTTGTAAAATCTATCGTTCGTGATTATATAGTTTTTGTTGGAATTCGCTGCTTATGAAAAATTGCCTAAATTGCATTCGGACATGATAATATAATAAGAGTTTCATTTTTATCTCATCGCATCTCTATCATTCCACGTGATAGTACTTACATAGTAACTGCATGGATGGAAGCTTATAAGTAGATCGTTTTAGTAATATTAATTCAAAGATAGATCTAAAGTTGTAAATATATTACATGCTAAGTACCACTAACAATTCGAAATCACGTTTAAAACTGTACAACATTGACGATAATCATTCACATGCTATACCGAATGACTAATATTTTGAATTTAGTCTCCGGAGATGCTTCCACAAACATGTTTCATTTATTCTCTTTTTATATATTAATGAATATAGTAATATAGCCAAAAAGTTCTCTTAGCAGTTATTATTTGTTTCTTATGAACTAACAACTTGGGTCATTATCGGGCTGCTTCTAGAAAAATAGAAATACTTATCAATCTTTAGTATAATTAAAGAAGTAAAATATAAAATAATTAAACGCGAGCAAAAATTAAGCTTGGCTTTCTGAAATGCATAGAAATTATTAATTATAACAAGAGATATATCAATATTTCTTTTTTCATTTCAAGTAATTCTGCAAAATTAAACAATTTAGATAAATAACTAAATGAATTTAGAAAAAGATGTATTGACAAATGTCAGAGAAGATAATCAATTATATTTGTATGATTTGAACTAAGGCAAATTCATTGGACATTTTTATTTAATTTTGTTACTTATGAAAATATTATAATGAAATTATTATAACTAATGAAAATATTATAATGAAATTTTATTTGTACTCACACTACGAACGATATTTATCTATACGTTATTGTCTATTATATTATCTGTACATGTATATCATGCGAATGGAACACTTTACCTATGCGACTTATGACTTATGTTTTATTGCAGAATAATACACGGCTTATAATTTGTTTCGTACATATATATGGGCGAATGATTGATTCGTACACATGCAATTTGTTATTGTAAATTGGCGAGTAATTTGATTATTGAAGAAAAGAAAAATTGCTTTTTCCGGGAGCAGCCCGCTTCTATTGTAGATCCTGCAAGTTGATTATCTATTATTGTCATTTCCGAGTATAGGAGTTTCATCCGCTTATAAACTAGAATCTGTTACTTTCAAATTTCCTTAGAAAAAGAAGAAATAAACGGATGAAAAATATAGCGAGACATAGCTGTCTCGAGCAAAGATCTCGTTATTGATTGGGATTACAAGTATTGTCATATCGAAAATTCAGCGACACAAACATCGATTAAACGGTTCTTATTTATTTACTTATATGGTAATTAGTACGAGTCTCTATTTACCTTCTCTTTTTTTTAACTCTTCGCCCTTTGTAAAGCTAGATAATGTAAGTTTCAGAGAATTCTGTTCGGTATATGTATGATATACTTGTGTATGTGTATATACGTATGTAATGAAATACAGACTGGTCTTCGTGCGATAAGCGGTTGAATCGTAAAGAATTTTACTGCTGCAAATTTCGTGGACACTCCGATACTTAAGAGTTTGGACACACATTTAAAACTTGACATTACAAGAAGGACATTATATTAAATTCACTACCCTAAGTGATTATGTATTCTGCTGATTTCTCTTGGTTGCACGTCTTATCATATCCCTTGTACGTTTTGCAAGTACAGTGAGTTACATCTATGAAATGTCTGCCATAGGCCATCTTTTGATATTTCTTTTACAATTTTATGTTTCCTTTTTTTATTATACTTGCGAAATTTGTCCTTGCTACACGCGCAAAATACAGCATTGCTTAACAACTACAATTATGTCGGCACACATATAAAATATTATAAACATAATTAAAATTGCATTGAATATTTGAAGAAATAGTTTTTGAAATAGTTCCCTTCTATGATATTTTTTTTCTATAAAATATATAACCTTTACTCATGCGACACGCTTCACGCACAAGAGACCAGTTCCAAAATACTAGACGGTGTCCTTCTGTCAAGTGGATTCTAATCCTTGTAATTAAAGACATTTATTATTATCTGTACCCAAGGCACATTTACTTTCATTCCGTTTTAGGAAGGTCCACTCTATAGTATATACATATTATAGCATTGTTACACGTATAGGGGATAGTTCGTAACTTGCACATCACCCTTAAATATTACTTTTTCTTTACTTTCTTGTACATAATTCACATTTCGTTTTAATTCAATCTCTTTTCTTTCTCTTTTTCTCTTGATTGACTACTCTACGTATTATTGTCAAGTCGACAGCATTTATAAATGTATTTCTTACGTATTATCGTTGATTTAAAATTATATTAAGATCAACTATAGTTTTGTGCAAAATGTACATTGTACATGCTGATACATCTCTATTTCTCAGCAATCAAATTTATATCTATATATAATTACGTGTTAATCATCTCATCCCCAAATATCATTTTGACATATCCTTCCCCTAAACGATCATTCGTTACTGTCAAAATTTCAATAATTATTCAGTTCTTATTACAATTATTGTCAAAATTTTATTGATTATTCAGTTTTGATCACGATTATTGTCAAATTTCATTGATTATTCAGTTTTGATCACGATTATTGTCAGAATACCCCATTTCGATCGTTATTATTGTCAATTCAGCTTTATATGTCAAAGAGAGTATGGAAATTTTGCATCCATGTTCATACATGTATATGTGTATGCGTGTACCTGTGTCTATATGTATATGTATGTATATATATATTATATATAATATATATATATATATCTCATATGTATATAATATGAAATATTGAATCTGGTAGGTCTTAAAAATATTTTGCTAATCTTTTACCTTAGAATAGATCTTACATACTAAATACTTTCGTACAACCTTGTATGTGTTTTGTCGATTTAACAATCGTACATTGTTGTATAGCTTTCGTAATTTTAAATCGATCAGTTTTCGTCGTCATCTTTGTCTTCTATTATTTGTTCCGCATGAAAGAAGGAAACACAATGATTCATCTTGAGAATAAAAGAAGTGCGATAATGGCCACAAACGTCGTAAATGTAGGCAGAACTTGACTGATGCCGTTAATGTTTCTCTGCGATCCCGGATCGACAACATGAATCTTCCAGCCCAGATGTTTGTGCGTGAAACACTGAAGAAAAAAATTGTAATAAAAAGTTTGATATTTGAAATTTCTCAGAAAATCTAATAAATTTTAATTTTAGATTGTTTACTAAAATAATTTATATCTTCGCAAGTAGTTATTCAATTTTTGGCTTTTCCCTAATAAGTTATACCTGATAATAGACTAAGTCTGGCGTATCCTCTTTCACAGTCCATACGAGCTCGGCAGGTTCGCCCATGTCGCATTTAAGTTCGAGCGTTTCGAAGAAACTCTTGAATGTCTTGTAATCATCCGCGTTATTCACTATGAGACGAGTCCATTCGCAATAACGGCCGGCTGCAGTTGCGCGGGGATATCCATTGGAATCGTACTCTGCGCCAGCAAATATCGTTTCCTCCGTTTGTTTCTCTACATTTTGTCCGAGACCACCCTCCGAACTATCAGTTATATAGAATGGGTGATACCTATATCAAAGGCATATGAATATTTTATAATAATGTACTTTACAACGTCTTATTGGGAATATTATGTAGCGATCCTGATTCAATTTTGTCCTGTATGTACGCACTTTGAAGGGTACGTATTATATCATAAATGAGAATACGACTCACTTAGCGGGATTGGCAGGATCGTCTCCACCCTCCACGATGAAAGTATAAGTTTTTCCTCGCTCAACGGTGAGCTCTGGGATCAGTAAATCATTGATGTACCATGCGATGCCCCAAGAAGGTGTTCCTATAAATTACAATAAGAATCACTGATCGATCTCGATCTTAAATTATTTCTATCATTTTAAAGTTAAAAAAAACACAAAGTTCAAGATTATCATTCAAGATTATCATAGTACTAATATCATTTGACATTATTGTTTTGTAATGGTAGAATAAAAAAATTTATCATATG